GCTGAAGGGCCAGCGCTTCGTCTTGTTCCTGCCCAGCAGTCGGGGGTCCAGCCGGCTGTCCAGGGTGCCGCGGGGCGTGCCCAGGCTGCTGTCGGAGGAGGTGCGGTTCATGGGCTGGCTGAAGTCTTCGAACTCCAGGTCTCCCGGCCTCTCGAAGCCGGACTTGTGGAGGTCGATCAACATCTGCGAGTCCTAGCGGGAGGACGGGGTCCTGGTTAGTGGCGCTGAAGACCCAGCCCGGATACAGACTCTCACGTGCCCCCCCCCGCTCTACGCCAATGTCGTATATTTGAAGGACCTCCCCCCCCCCGTTCCTGCCCAGGAATTAAGATCACAGGCCGAAGCCCTCCCGACCGTCCCGCCAATTGAAGCAGCCAATCTGGTGGGCACAGGAGACAGAGCCTTTTTGGTGGCAGCCCCGTGATTACGGAACGACCCCCCAGGGAGGTGTGCCTGCGCCCCCCCCCCCACTTTCTATCTTCAGGAGGCAGTTGAAGGAAGCTTTATTTAAGACTGGATTTGATTAATCTGATCTTTATTTATTAGCAGCCCAAACTGTGATTTTTGAATTGTGGGCTTTTAACATATTTTAAACGGGGCTATTTTGGGGCGGGGACGCACAGGAACGGCGTTCCGGCTGGCTTCAGAGTTTGGCCACGCCCACTACAGCCAAAACTTCTGCATGAGTGGCTACAGAGGGAAGGCCTGGAGAACGAGACACACCCCCGGCGACTCCAAGGTGGGTGGGGCCAGGGCCCCCCCGGAAGGATCGGGAAGGCACATGGGCGCACTCACACACACAATGCAAAAATACCAACAACAACATTCATTCATTCATTCATATTCCCAGCTCATTCCCACAGCAGCATGAAGGGTGTACTACATCCTGGCCGTTCCACTGAGAAAGCACGCTACCCATTTTTTTCCTCAACCTCTACAGCAGAGGGTGTCTACTGGTCTGGCGGGCACCCACATGCTTCTCATCGACCAGGTCTGCTGCCGCCTTCATGCCCTCCAGGCACTTGCCGATGATGGGCACGACCTGCTGCTCCGTCTCCGAGAAGACGCTGTAGCCCTCCTTCAGCCGCTGCACACGCAGCTCGTCCATCTCCTGCAGCTTCTGGAGGGAAGAGAAATGCAAACAGAGTGAAGAGCGCAGGGGGTCGTTTGAGTGGGAGGGCAAAGGGAAGCGGCCCGCCCACACAGCCTCCCGGCAATTGTACCCCGCTGGCCGGAGGGGCTTGGCTAGGCGCCGTTCCTGGTTTCCTGGCAGGCAACACTGCAGGCAGCACTGCGAGCATTCACGGGTCATCAGGAATGGCGGGGTGTGAGGCTTCAAGTGCAACACGCCTCAGAAAAGCCTTCGGTCTGTTGCCCTGTTCGATTCTAGTATGTTGCTGCTGTTAATTTTTTAAGAGCATATAAAAAAGCCCTGCTGGATCAGGCCAGTGAGGGTCCGTCTAGTCCAGCCTCCCGTCTCACACAGGGGCCAGCCAGTCCCTCTGGAGGGCCAACAACAGGGCAGAGAGGCCAAGGCCTTCCCCTGAGAAGAGCACCAGAAGAGCCCTGCTGGGTCAGACCAGGGAGGGTCCCTCTAGTCCAGCCTCCCGTCTCACACAGGGGCCAGCCAGTCCCTCTGGAGGGCCA